ATCATCACTGGTGCAAAGACAAGGCCTTGAGGAATTCCAGTTAAACCTGTGCTAGAGAAGAGAAGGTCGGGTCTATTCTCACTCGAAATGATCTGTCTGATAGGAGTGCCTTGATCCAGGGGAGGATTTTCCCTTTAATCCCGTAAGACTCGAGTTTGTGGAGCGGCGGACGTGTGGGACCCTATCACATGCCTTCGAGAAGCCAAAGTATATGGCATCCGATATGAATCCTTAGTCCTTTGTTTGGGTTAAGCTGTCCATAAACAAGAGCATATTTGTCACGCAATAACGGTTTGGGAGAAATCCGTGTTGAGCTGGGGATATCAGTTTGCTGGAGGTAAGGCGATCTGGAATAGCTCGCTTCAGAATGCGTTCCATCGCCTTGCACGGCACGCTAGTTAGGCCTATAGGCCTATAGCTGCCAGGCGATAGTCGGTCACCAATTTTGTAGATTGGCGTGACAATCGCTTCCTTCCAAGCAGAGGGAAGGCGGCCTTCGTCAAGCGATTGACGAAACACTGCGTATAAATGATTTGCCAGTGTAGACTACGTTTCCTTCAGGATTCTTGGATGGACCTCGTCGGGCCTCAACGTGCAGAATGGGTTGATGTTGTGCAAGAGTTGGCGAATGTCCCCCACCGTGATGACCAAGTCGGTTAGAGGCTGTTCGTAGTTCTGTCTTGACAAGAATGGATGTGACGAGGACGCTGGGGCTGAGTATAGACCTGCATAGTGTTCTCCGTAAACCTCACATACCACTGTTGGGTCACTCGTGGGTTCTCCGTTCCTGTCCCTTGCTGAGAAGGCGGATGGCTTGGTTCTGCGGCGATGCCTCATGTTTTTGAACAAGACGTTTTTGTTTTTTCAAGCGAGGTTTGGAATGATGGGTTATTTTCGTATGCTCCTTTGGCGGATTTCTGATTAACAGCGATTCTGCATTTTACGAAATGCAAGCTTATCTTCTGCACCCCCTGAAGTTGACTTTTTGAAAAAAGTCGGAATTTTTTTCTAGAAGTCGCCGAATCCTTTTCGGCAGCCTGTGGCTCATCCGAGCGTGTGCTGGTTTCTTTGGGACGAACATTACTTCAGCCTCGTGAACATTCTGGACAACGGCCCTATACAGTTCTTCCACTGGAGCTGGTCCCAGTGTAGCTTGTTCAAGAAGGATGCACATTCCTGAGAAGTCTGCGCGGCAGAAATCTCGAAACCATGTTTGAGGTGCGGGATTTCTGGCACAATAGCAGATGAAATCAAAGGTGAGCATGCAGTGGTCTCTACATCTCAGTGGAGCGCTAATTGTTACCTGATCAACGAAGTGTCTTTCGTCGGTGATGATCGAATCCGAGAGGGATGGTAGTTGGCCTGCGTGATATCTGGTGAGTGCAACGACATGCTGAGTCCAAGCGCTCTGTTAAATGGCTTCAATCAGCGCCGCTGCAAAAAGTCCGCTTGATTCGACATGTTGGAGCTCCTATGAGGCCTTTGGAACGTTGAAGTCACATACCCGCAGGGGATGCGTAAAGTGGTAGTTGGAGGTGAGTTGCTCAAGGGTTCGCATGAGGAATTGGGGATCTTCAGGGGGACCCAAGGGGATACGGTAGACCACACCTAGAAGAAGTTAATTGGACCGGCGCAGCGGGATTTGGACCCACAGTGCATCGCAGAAGGATGCAGGAGTGATACAAGAGAGGACAATCGGGGATGGTAGGGCCGCGTGTGAGTACAGAGCAACCCCACCAGCCCTCCTTCGTTTTGAGCCAGCTGGAAAAATAGAATAATCATCTGTCGGGATCTCCGCGTCAGAGACATCTCATGTGAGCTAGGTCTCTGTTAGTGTGATTATAGACGGCTGTTCAAAGCAAGCTGACTGTTTAACATCGCCGAGTTTGTTGAACAGTTTGTGGACAAGCATTTCAACACTGTCTCTGCTGCATTTCCTACTGCATAAAGCGTTGCCTTGATAAGCAAACACAGGAAAAAATTTTACTCAGAAAATGATAGGCTGATGAGGCTGCCTGCCGGAAATTGTATGTACCACAGTTTCTGTGCTTCGAAAATTTGAGCCAGCTTGAGAATTCATTCCAGTTGATATTCTGTGCATGCATGGACTATGGAGCAGTAGGCGAAAATGAAAACTGTCAAAATACGTCTCACCCTAATTGCTGTGTCATAAGTTCCCTCTACGAGCTCCCGTCTAACGAGCGTTTAGCCTTCTGATTAATCCGAAATGGCCCACCACAGCCAGCGTGTTTGCAGCTGCATCTCCTTTTACTCTGACTGCCTCAGGCAATATGGGTTTCACTCGCAGATATGACAAAAGGGTGATATACGCGAAGAGAAAATTATCGAACCCGGGGTTGATGACATATAAGCTCTTCGTTGAAAAGCTGCTTAACGGGTCACACAATTTAACGCGGTTTCAGATCATCGAGTGGCCTACAAAAGGGAGGCCGATTGGTCTCCTGCACTCATCCTATTGGTCTACGGCCTGCCGGCATTCCGGTGAGTTGCTCTCAAGTGTGCGCCATCGGCCTAGCAGGCCCGTGAACCCAACGGAACGAATTAAATAATGCCCTTATGAGGGCCCTAAACCATGTCATCACGCTCACGCAACCAGATCAGGGCAATACACATCAAGGTAACAGACGACTTACTGCCCTCTTGTTGGTGAAATCCTTAAATGCGCTTAGCAGGACCGGTCATATCCGCTGGGCTTATCCCGGGCATCGACGTTTGCATTCTGACACAGAAGAACAACATCCACTATATCCTTCCTGCGAACACACTGGAGTCTTCTCTCTAAGCGCAATTCGGGTATCAACATTTTACCCGATCTGGCTGTTTTGTAACGCAATACTGCGAAGTGTGACCAAACAGTGAACTTGCTGAATATCTCATTCTGCGCGACTCGCTTGGTTCAACAGTGGTGACACCTTATCTCCAATAATTAGAGCAACCAATTGCTTCCAACGAAGAGATTATGTTTCCGAGAGATCTTCCAGTGTACTACGTTGTTCTGACGAAGGTGGGAACTCGGAGTAGAACTTGAGCATTTGAGTTACCGGTGATCATCCGAAGTCACCACCTGCTTTGGCTTTACCCAAAGCGCGCACCAACAGAGCACATCTACACTGGATTCTGCAACTTTGGCATCAGGCGGTGACGGTGAGGTTTATTCGCCAGGTAACTGAAGGTGAAGGGGAAGAACGAATCATCGTCGCCGGGACACAATTGTGGCACCCTTCTTACGTAACTCAGAACAACGAGGTCCCGGGAACCCAGCCATTCCGGATGGCATTGATTCCTGTCTTACTGTTCGCACATCTTGATGGACATCGACCCTATTGCAATCCACGAGGCCCCTAGGACAAAAAGCTCGACTGTAAGGAGTACCCAGCCGGCCAACTTGTGTGCAGGTCTCTAGCATTACTGGGGTAACAATCCTTGGAAGTAATATCAAGGGCAAACAAGAGGACACAAGTAGTGCTGTGTTTCATTAGGTGGACGAAATAGGCATCTTTGTATGCCTATGCACCCATAAATCGGCTATTAGGCCTTGTCCCATCAAGTTGTGCGCCAAGAATAGTGCGTTTGTGCAACCCAAAAAAGTTGCCGCTATAGACTGCCCGTTATCCCCAAACAGCTGCACCCAAATGGGAGCCCAGTTTGTAATTCACCCGTACGGGTTTTAGGCAAGATTGTACTGAATGCATTAGTAACCTCAACTACCAGACTTAACATCCGTTAGTAAGCTGGTTAATTCTGGCTAAAAGCGAATGTGTTCAGCTTCTACTACACACTTGCACTCTCCTTCACAAAAAATCAGACTACTGTAGCCCTTAATTTCTACCCGCAGACCACCGAGCTGAAGAAATCCTATCGTTTTATATCGGCTTAGGCCCCCCTCGACCGGACCAGCGCAAGCTTCCCTCAAATGTTGATGAATCACTTCCAGGGTTTCAGAATGTTTATAAGTTTCTGACTGCGTGTGACCGGGCCAGCCGAGCTAAGTGCACATCTTTTACCGTGAGGCTAAACATAATTCAGGCAAAGTTCTGATTTCGGAGTTAATGTGACCTTGTTAGGTCAAACAAGACTAAATATATCGCACTTCACTCGTTTGGTTTGAATGTCCCAGTTTGAAGAAGAGAGAATTTTAAACGGCAAATTTTTGAGTAAATAATTATATGCACACCTACATCCAACATTGCTTCTTCTCAGTATCAGAGTGCGCAATGCCCCATCTTTTAGCGGAGGTATTCGGCCATTCAGAATAAAGTGTTTGTGTTTTCATTTATCAAATTTAATTGACTGCTGGTAGGTGGAAGGCTAAAATTATTATTTGCAGCAGTTGAGACTCATGGGTTTACAAAATAAGGCAGACGTAAATACATTGAGGAAAATTCTTTGAAGACCCTGTCCAAGTTAGTCAAAATCCAAGATTTGTTTGAGTTTCACAGAACCTTTGAATATGGCTGTGAAAAATGGTGGCCTGGAGCCACAAAGTTGGTGGACCTGACAAACATAAGTTTGTGGCATTACAAACAAGTCACCCAGTTAAACGACTTCCTCGTACACAGATCGCTCCAGGTTAATCTTTTGGCAGGAAAGGTGCACGCAACCTTGTTTAGCAAACAGCTGCTTGTATTCAATATGCCATAAGTTTATATCGCATTGGAACGAAAGCAACCAGTGGTTAAGGAACGCCTGGTGTTAATCTGGAAGTGATGTTGAGCGTGCTAATCCAGTAAAGGAACGAGCCAAGTGACCACACAGCTACTTGCAAGCTGTTCATATTGAGCAGCACCGATCAGTAGTTATGCAACTGATAAACTCCCGTCGTCATGTAGATTTGTTGATCGTGGCGTGTAGTCAGGATGTTACTGGCATACAGTGGAGGATGTTGTGCAAGCCAGTTCGTCCAAAAAACAGACTAGCCATCGTCAGGCGTCAAAATTACATTCGTCACATTCGTCATACTGGATGTGGCACGTTATTGAATGGCGGAAAGCCAACGAAGGTGATTCAGCATTTGGTTCGGTTTTAAACACATGACAGCTGAAAGTTCACCCCGAGAATCCCGAATACCAATGCATCCCGTTCCCCCCGCACAGTACTGAAAAAGCAGCCGTCTGTGATTACGACTTTTGCCGGCGGTTCATTAGGTGTCGTTTTATCAGGCAAGCACGCGGAACCTGGACAACAGAAACACACAACTGTGCGAAAAAGGAAAAAAACCCACGAAAACGGTACCAATAAATCCCTTTAACCCCCAAATCCTCCAACTAAATGCACTCGTGTACGAGCAAACACAAGACCTATTCCTCTGTGCCACTACTTGGTCTGGTCCCCTGGCCTACTACAGCAGCGAGTGGAAACTTCTAGCCAAATTACTTTTCTGGAAGCCACGATCAACTTGTGGGCTGTTGCGGTTAGACGCCTCTGCTCTTAAGCTGATAGGGCTCACACAGAATTGCACAATATCCAGCTCCCTTGCTTCTCAAAGAAGGTTCCTATTAGCAGACTTGATCCACTCAATTACTGACGAACAGGTTTGTGTGGCTTGCTTTCACTAAACAAAGGATACCAAATATATTCCAATACATGTGCACCGTTTCTTCATTCTGGAGATGGAACCGAGGGGCATCTTCAACCCCTAGAGCCCACGGAAAACACGAAGGATTTCTGGGAGTATTGTAAGAGAAAAATCTAACGGTAAGGTTAACTGGTCCCACGTAACCCATGAATTCCGTAGGGCTCATGCTATGTTATGATGAATCTCAGCCAGAACTTCATGAGTCTCAAGACGATGCAATTGTGTCAAGGAGCTGCAGCTTTACTGGATACTGTAGTATACATTGACCATCGGTTTGGTCGCTTTATATGTAAGTGTTGGTGATGCACAACCATATTAGATGATAGACGGATCATGAGGTTTCTTTTTGTTTTCCATCTACGAAATTGCTCTTTACCACTCCCTTCGGAGAACCCTTATCAACGGTTGCTTCCAAGGCGTGCATACTACAATGCGCAGGAAGCCCGTGAACTGACAAACAACCCATGTGTGTGTAAGAGCACAACCACAACCCAGAAAGTCCGAGCCTACTGGTCCTCGACTTCCTACCGCGCACATACTCATCGAACCATTGAACTTCTGGAAATGCGGGATACCCTAAACTGATTCAAATTCTGAACTAAGAGATGCGCTAATTTCGATTTTGTGCGATGTGGTCCGTCCCTGCTTGCTGACTTCTCTCACCTGATGCCTATTGAGGGCTCCAAGACTCAGATCAGGTTAGTTATTTGCTATTTAGGAGAATTTGGTTAGTTTGGGTTGTGTAGATGGTTGTTGGATTGTGTGCTAAGCTGGGAAGTTGGACTGCAATCAAATTACCAGGCTCAGTGAACAATCCAACCACCTGGTTACTTTCTTACTGTGTGGTCGATTAACTTTAACAAGACCATATTAAGCATTCTTTGGAATGCCAAAATGTTTGTTCCACCCTTCACGGTGCTTCACATCTGTGAAACAAATGCTGAAATCATATTAGAGTTCAAATTGCCTGAGTCGTTCCATCGGAGTTCCCTAACTAGTTGTACAGTGAATGAATGGCGGATTTCTATCTATCGAGCACGTTCCTAAATGTCGGTCTGCGTGAGTGTGTTTGTGTGACAACGAACCTATTTTCGAATTCTTCAGGCAAACGAATGGGCGAATATCTTTGAAACTAATCTCTGAGTTCAGTGCGGAAGTCTGTTTTTATGCCCATTTACCTCAGTTCTTTTATGCTTCAGTTGAGTAGTTTGAAGTGTGGTCATTGGGTGTACACGAGAATAGGAAGCTCCAGACTTGTTGCCTTTGAGAGCGTTAGATACTGCTCGTAGTTTCGGGGCGCGTGGCTGAAAGTGGAGAAACTAGCTTTTCCTCATTACTGGTTGTGTTGGTAGATACGACGGAATTGGTGTACTAATCCCTTCACACACAACATGCTGTCTAAGGAGGCATACTGTGAAATATGAATATATGAATATGGTACGACCCGTTAAATAGCAAACAAAGCGGCGTCTAGACTCGGGAAGTTAGTGGCCATTCGAGGTTCTGTTAACAAATCTTGGGTTAGATTGCATGACTGACTTATGTATGGCTACTTCAATGGGGTAAACGGTGACTTGTGAACGGATAGTGAAAACGGAAACAATTAATTGGGTTGGTCAAGACGGAGTTATGCCAGCGGAGTATGCATGGGATATCATTGTAGAAGGGTTGGCGGTACATTTAAAGGCGCTACATTTGTCGTGTATGTACGGCGATAGCACGATGACCGGAAGGTATCGCAATATGGAAGGTGCAGGACAAATGGATGTGGGTGATAGGGTGGAAGCTGTCAGGTGCAAGTTTACGGCACGGTCTGGGACAGAAACTAGGTGGCAGTCCTGGGAAGGCAGTCCAAGGCCGGTTTGAAAGGGTAAGCGCTCTCAGAAGCGTGTTTAAGAAAGCTACCATATCTTCTCTGAAAGACTCAATTTGCGGTTTAGAGGGTTGCCTGTTAAAACCGTAAGTATAGCCTTACAGGATGTGTACAGGATCCCTTCTCTAAATGACACGCGACAATAGCTGCTCAATCAATCAAGCTAAAGAACAATCGGTTATGACAAACCTAAGTAAGTCTGTTCAGCATAAAATATACTGAGTAGGGATATATGGTTTAACCTATGTTTAAACCGCTGGTAAATGTACCGGACAAAGGAAATTTGTTTGAAGTGATACGGTGGAAAAACAACCGACCATTTGACCACCGTTGGGAGGATTTGACAATCCGTGCTAACTTAGACAAATCGAGCAGACATCGATGGAGCTCAGTGTTGAAGAAAACCAAGGAAAGAAAACATCCAAGTGCCTTGTCAGATAGGACAAAGAAGCATTTCCAATTGTGTCTTGAGGCACAGCACGAAGAAGTGGCGCTCAAATTCAGTGGACTCGAGAGTGCAGAAGGAACGACGTGAGTGGATACTCGTGAAACTTCTGACTTCCCTCGATAACTTTAGTGGGCCGCTGCATCAACCCTCCTTAGAAAGGAGTCCACAACTCGACCTCCTAAATGAAAGAAACAGTGAGCTACTCTCATATGGTTTGCAACCTATCGGCATGAGGTTTTCCCTCCGGGTGATCTTGCGGACAGAGCAGTTGGGCTCTTCCTTTATGCCGTCGGGCCTAGGTCATGTACTCCAGAACCCAATCATCCACCTCAAGAATTCAAATTCTCGGTTGCATGATTCCAACGGTGCAAATTGCTGTACAGAATGAGCAGAGGAAAGGTTCATGCTGAATGAGGTAAGAAAGCCACTGCCCAGACGTGGAGGCTGCGCGTTTGAGGATGCAGTTTTCTATCCAGACAATAGGGGACAACAATCCTACCAAATATTGTAGATAAGCATTTTACCCGATGATCGCATTTCCGGGGGATGAACTGAAGCGTAAGCCAGAATCTTCCAACAAAAATGAACATGGAAATACTTATTTGAGTCGACTTCGTGTTGTCTGCGTGTCGATTTTGTGATCGTTTCCAAATTTTTGGTTCTGATACCTTTTCATCTCTACGAGTACACGCGAAATAATCCAAAATAGTGTGTACAGAGACGGAGAAAATTCCGGTGTACAAAGATGGATCGAGTCTTATTCGAGTGTTTCAAAGCGTTAGTCGAGCTACTCTTAGAGTCGATTTGAGAAACCAATGCGCATTCCGGAGCGAGTTGATTAAGATGCCGGTTCGATTGGAGACACAGTTGCGCTTGTCGAGCGAACATGGCCTGCGTATACAGCGCTTTCGCCTGAGTTCTTTGCATCCAGTGGCAAAAGGCAAGGCTATGCTGTCTTATTATTCCTCTTAGCTATCTTATTAACGTATTTCTTGGGGTTTGCATATGAAACCTCAGGGATCGAAATGCCCCCGGGGAGGGGGAAGATATTGCTTTCCTTAGTTCGGATCCTGGGGCGAGATGGCCCAAGTGGTTAGAGCGCAAATTTACCGGAAGGAAGGTCCGTGGTTCGAATCCGACCTCCGCCACTCGACTTCCCCTGCTCTAGGCTTGGGCACCCTGGTAGTATCGCAGCCCTCGTGCTTCCTTCGGGTGGCATGGCAGCTAGGCACCGGAAGGATGCTACAGCTGAACGCTTTCTTTTTTTCTTTCTTAGTTCGGCTCCTTCAAAGGTTTCAGTCGCTTTAAATAACCTGAATAGTTCCGACGCACGGTTTGGTGTGCGCTTCATAACTGCAAAGTGTAAAGTGCTGCTACAAGACTGGGTAAAACCAGACCCAAGCCTCGTACTTACATACCGACCAGTGGACGTGGCACGACTTCGAGATAGCTCAGTGACTAAGGTGCAATTCAGCTGTAACACCCTTTCAGCGCTTTGTAAGACCATCTGACGTACCTCAACATTGCTAATCCGATGTTCTCATCAGACATTTAGGGCCAAACACCGACAGTTTCACTATTCTCTCTCTCTCTTTGGTCTTCATGATCTGTGAAGTAGCCACTTCACTAGAACTTATACAACTGCCCAGTAAATAAACTTGTCAGTCAGTCAACTGTTCAGTTGGAACCGCCTTTCGGCACATAGCTGGCATGTCACCCAAATGAAGCACGAGGGTTGGGGTACTGCCAGATTGCCCAAGCCTAAACAGAAGTAGAGATGCATAGGTAAGGTTCGAACCAGGGACCTTCCGGTCAGTAAATTCGCGCTCTAACCACCGTGCCATCGGAAAGTCCGTACTTCGAACCCAATCTCAGTGTCTCGACGGTTCCTGCTTAGACTTAGGAAACCTGACAGTACCTTAGCCAGGTACCTTTGGGTGACATGCCAACTATATGATGAAAGAGGGTTGCGACTGAATAGTTGAGTGATTGATAAGTTTGCTTACTGGGCAGTTGTATAAGTCCTAGTGAATGAATACTTCACAGATCGGGAAGACCCGACATAAAGCTGCCATCTTGACGTGATGGTCGGGCTTGAGTGCT